TCTGGCGCATCGCGCTCGCAAATTCAGCTGTCACTTTTCGAGAAACGATCTCGCGAAGTTTCTCTTCCCGATCGACAAAGATCGATCACGGATAACGAAACAGCCACAGGTAAACTGGCTTTGCTTCGAGGCTCTGAGTGGATTTTGATGAAGCCCACTGCGAACGTTTTTCCATCCCCACGTGACAAATGGCTCCACGGGGATTTTCGGGGCTTCACGAGTCGCAAGAACTCGTGCCCGGTAAGATCGCCGGGACGATCGAAAATAGTTGCCGCGCGGATATAGAAACGATGGGTCATGGTCATGGATTCGGCTGACTACTATCGGCGGATGATTTATCACGTGAACACGGTCGAATTTCAATGCACTTGCCGAACGTCTATAGTTGGGGATCAACGGGCGCTTTTTCGTACATTTTGCATTCCGTATTCGTGACGATGTTACGATAGCGCAATGCACGCGGTACGAAGTTTTCTGGAAATGGTCGAAAGTTTGTTTCGTTTAACCCAGAAGATCGTAGAAACGAAATCTTTCTCGAAAGGAAAGCGCACGTTGCAGTGGCTATATTTTTGTTTGCAGTAGATAGCGTGTGTACGTTTGTTTAATTTTCAGCTTCACTGCCCTGAAAATTACTTGGTTTATAGTGATCTTTTTCAACATCGATAGACGATCCTCTAAACTATAAATAAAAATAAATAATCAAAACAATAAGAAATAAAATACCAGCAAAACAAAGACAAAGACAGCTGAATTAAACTATCGACGAACTATTGATAATTAATTATCCTTAATTCTTGATTTTAATCATATTTGTTTATTATTTTCCTTCAAGTGTATGATGTTCTTCATCTTTCTATCTTATCACAGTCTTCAACAACGTGTTCCATTGTCCCCGTATCTCTCCTACATCTGATACGCTTTTTTATTTTCACTTTCTCCCAATACTTGTTACATCGCACCAAGCTCCTACGTCTAGCTTTTAACTTGTCCCTTTCTCCCTCCCTTTTTTAAGGAATTCAGGTCTTCGTATCTTTCTTATATATCTAAACCCTCTATTTTACATATCCTGCTCTTGCACTTGTTTGTCTCTTCTCACCAGAATCCACGATACGTCCACAATACTTCATCAACATTCGTTTACCCTCTCTTCGAACATCAACATCCTTTTACCCTGCCTTCCTGTATTCTTTCTCTCAGTTATTCGTGGCATTATCTAGATTTTTCTACCGTCTACGTATCCCGTTGAAGTTGTTCAAAAACGTGGGACGTCTCGCTGACGAGAGGGTTTAAAAAATCCCCGCGGGTCACAGGGGTCGCGACAATCGGGAGCTGCCGTCTACATCATCCTCTCTCTAGGGGGGGTGGCCAAGAAGAAGAAGAAGAAGAAGAAGAAGAAGAAGAAGAAGCGGTTACCCTCGAGCATTCTGGCTCGAGGTTATAGGCGCTAATCGCGGCGTGTGGTGCGTGAAAAGGGGCAAGGGGGATGGTTGGGTGGGCGAATAGTCGGCAGCGGCAAGCGTAAGGGAGAAAAGGTAACGCGCGGCGGCAGGGTAGTCAAGGTGGTGATATCGACCGTAGATATTGTTGAGGCAAACGGTAACCATGGGTGACTCGGACCGATTGACCAATTACAGTGTTCACGGTGGCCGTAGTCGACCAATCGGCGTACGGTGTGCTGCCGGTTTTTTGATTGGGCGATCCCGGGGATAAGAGACCAGTTCGAGGCCGCTCGGACCCACAAACCGACGTCGAGACATCGAGCAGACAGCATCGTCGTCGTCGTCGTCGTCGTCGTCCACGGTTCCATAAGAAGGCCAGGGTGCTGTTCTCGTCGGTCGTGTCGCCCGATGCGCCCTCCTCGTCGTCCTCGTCGTCGTCGTCGTCGTCGCTCAACTTTGGATTTGGATTCTTTCTGTCAGGTCTCTTCGGGTGTCTCTCTTGTGTAAGGCTCTCTTTCACGCTTTCATCTTTGCGCACTTGAGCAAAACACGAGCTCGCTCTTGGTCACACGGGCGTGTTCACGGTAGATTCTTGCACAATCCGCGAGTCACTCACCGATCTTTGCTACTAACTGTCTTCGTCTTCGTCTTCGTTGTTGTCGTTGTTCGTCTTGGTCGGCTACTTGGCCATGCCTAGCCAGGCGGTACCATTTTCGACTGGAAGTCAATTTTTTCCCCCCGCGAGTCACACTCCTTCGCAGATCTCTTTGAAAGGCTCGTACAGCTTTGTCTAGGCCCCTTTGTTATCCTGCACCTATTGTTCAATCGGTCCTTGCATTTTTACGCTATGCACAGCTACGTACGATGGCCCACGGATTGTTCTCCACCGACGAATTTCAACGAGCCGTCCAATTTCGTGGCTCGTGGACTGGATAACCAGAGAGAAGAAGCGCGGGCTTGCTGATTTTCTTTTCCAGTCCGCTGTTCCCCGGAACTTCGACGCTGGGGATGCTCGTTTCGTTCGTAGAGCATTTGAGACTCCCTCGGTAGTTTGTCAGATCGTTGTAGATCTCTTGCTAGGTTTATGTTTACGAACTGCTTTTGATTTTTTTTTTTTAAATTGTTTTATAATTCCTCTTTGCGTTTGGGATTCGATTTTTGCAGATTATTTAGTCCAATTCGAATTTAATTTTGTTATCTTGCGTTTTCTTTTTTTTCTTTTTCTTTTTTTTAAGGGATTATCATTCTTTGTCATTCTTCAAAAGTTGCCAATTTAATATCTGTTTATTCCACACTAATGCCTACTCCACTCACATTCTTTGGCTTAAAATTGTTCATATCTCGAAGTTGACAATAAATTACACTTGCTGTACCGTGTATTTACTCTTACCAATATATACTTATCCCGCTAAGCTAGCGTAACTGAAACTGCAGGTGACTTTCTCATTGACCGTGCACCTAACAGCCCATGCACCTAACAGCTTACTAATTAATTTTCAAATAGAAAGCAGGCGGATCAAATATTTCGACGATGAGTAACGAGACGAATCTTTTCTCATGAAAGCAGCAATAATAAAAGAAAAGAGAAAGACAGAAAACTGAATCGGAGTTTCACCGCGGAAAACGACCTTCGAAGTGAGAGAATCACGCGAGCTTCGATCTCCGCGAGCGAATCGATTCTCGTCTGTCTGCTTTCTCAGCCTTCCCCCGCGGAATTCGAGCTGGAGAAAAAGAAAAAAAAAAAAAAAAATAGAGAATAGAGTTCGGATCGTAGAACGTTATGCAAATGAAGAGTCTGCCGGAAGTCGTTGGGTTCGATTAACTATTCATCGACGTTTCGGTGAGGCACGCGAGGTGTGTTTCAGTCCGGTAGAAAAGAAAGAAAGAAAAAAAAAAAAAAAAAAAAAAAGAACGTGCTCCCGTTGCCAGATCGGACTCTCTCCCGGCAAAGTGAATTACAAGCGTACCATCCTTGCCGATTTAACGCGCTTCCCATCGGCCTGGCGCGTATTTTACGCGCCGGATCCCGCACCGGACAAAACATCCTCCGCGACGCGCGCTGATCTATGTGTTTGCCCGAGGAAAATCAAGTTATCTCATTATCGCGTGCTGGCCGCGCAGTCTTCTTCCGGTCGCGTAGATGCGTCGGTGTTTTGGCGCCAAGAAGTTTCGCGAGTCGAACGAAAAACGGGCGCGCTGATATATTTTTTTGCTCGTTGTCGCGCTCCTCCCGTGCCGTTTCAACGATCCTCCAGAAGTTAGGAGCAGGGACGGCGTTTCTGTTTTAGAAACTATATCGAAAAACGAAGAAAATAATTTCTTCCTTTCTTTCTTTTTTCAATTTGTTACTCCGTAGAGATTTGGATCACAATTGGGAAAAGGGTTTCTCAATCTTACCCGCTGGATTTTAATACGATGGTTTATTGAAAGAAATTGTTTGCCAATTTCACACGTTGACATTTTTGACCGGATTGAATTTTTTCAAACTTCGGGGGAATTGTTTTTTTTTTTGGCAATAATTATTAATAATCGAACGGTGGTTTTAGAAATGCACTTTGGAGAAAGGTAAATAACGCATTGAAATTAGGGCTGTTTCTGAGCAAGTATGCACCTTCGGGGGCATAATTAGAATAATAAAATTGACTTAGTAGTTATCTTGGTAGAAAATTGTTTTACGCACTATGTATTTTATATAATTTTTCATATTATGTGTTGTATCTTGTGTAATTTTATTCCTATAAAATTTCCTATAAAAGCATAGAAATCTACAGTGTAGTAACTTGTTGAGTAGAGTTATGAGATCACTTAAACTTTATTTAATTAGTTAATATTAACAGCACAAGTTTATTTATTAATTTTATTAATTTTTTAAATATTATTTTATTAATTTTTATCATTACTTGAAAATTTATATAATCCTCTATCATCTCATTATGTGTGGAAATGCAATATATTGTCAAATGTAAAATATATATACACGCAGAACATATAAAATATATATGCATATGCATGTACCTAATTAATATTAATTTCATTTCCTTTTCGCGACTTTTTATGCATTTATGGAAAGAAATGCACGATGCACGGAATAAACAAAATAATGTAAAATATCTGGTGCAAAGTATAACATACAGTAAATAAAATAACAAATTTCTGTCTAGAATCCATTTCTTAAAAATCCGCAATCTACTTACAAATGTGACTCGCAACAGTCGTCAAAAAATAATTTGTGCAAATACCCTAGTTAATCGGACATTGAATATAATCAGAATTTTAACTTTTTTAGCTATTTCAGTATAACTTTTTTTTAAAATAACAAAAACTATGTACTTCTCTCTCTGAGTTCATACTTTAGTGATAAAATAGAAACCTCTTATTAAAGAAACGATAGCGAAAAATTGGGAAAATGCCACCTAAACCAGAAATTTACCAAAAATTGTTCAAGGAAATTTAAAGAAATTTATCAAAATGTCATTTAACATACCCTGAAATAATTTATAGTGATTTAATTTAATTGTCAACTGTTAATTAATTAACAGACGTTGTACTGTTTTGTTTCAGAAGGTTCGAGTTGCAAAGGAGTCGTCGTGAGAGCGAAGCGTAGGCAGTAGCTCAATCAGGTGAGTTTCACGTATCAGTCCTTGCATCTGCGTAGTTTCGAGAAAATCGTGATAATAATCGCGTAGAGGGTGAGAAATCTTAATTAGCGAAATGCGTGCTAAGAGGAAGTGCCGTGTTCTTCTTTTTTTCCTTTTCTTTTTTCTCTTTTTCCTTTTTTCGTCTGTACCATTCGTTGAAAGACAGATTGAATTACGAGGAATCGCGTGTAATTGAAAAACGAGGACCACGGCAATTTACCTCTGTGATCGTTAATTAAATCCGTGCCTCAAACGAGATGCGAAAGGCTGTCTCGTTGGCTCTTCGAAGATTGCAAACGAGTGCCAGTTGCAACCATACCAGAGGGACACGTATCTCTTGTAATTGTTAATTACGCGCCGGTTTCGCACTCCTCCTCATTCATGCTGATCCCTCGATAACGAACGATTAACGTCTCTATTGTTTCGTACAGAGATTTTCAACTTTTCACCTCGAGTCCTCGTTATCGTTTGCGTATAACAAATACACAAATATACACGCGTAGCTCAAAAGTCAATCGACGTAAATCATTTCTCGTTAAAAATAATTTATGTATTTATCCTTTTGTTAAAACTTTTGTCAATCGACAATTTTAAAATAGTATAATTATCATGATGTCACAACTAAAACTGTTTGATACATGTTTGTACGACACAAGTCATCTTTAAAAAAAATGAAAAATGACTTACATCGATTGGTTTCTGAGCTCACCATTTAATAAAGTTTTCAAAATGATTCTGACTTTATGAACGAAATATTATTACTCTATAACTATTAACTATTACAGAATGTATATCTAATAATTATTTTAGTCGGAAGTTCATTAAGACCAGAAATATCAATAGAATCTTCAAAGTAATTCTGACATTGACAAATGAAGTAATAATTATTTTAGTTCTAGTATTTCATTATGATTGAACGTTCGTGGAGATTAATAATAATGTTTCAATGTAGTTATTACAAATCTTAATACTGTGAACACACAGTGATTGCATTTGTACATTCAATGAAGAATTGTCCACGTTAAAAATTTTTTTTAGTTATGTGATAAACTAACTTGTAAAATTTAGTTGGGAAACTGAAAAATTGGGAAATTTGTTCATAGAGATGTTCGAATATACTTTTGGCTATCTCGAACTTCTTTTCGAGATAGCTAAAAGTACCTATGAAAGACACAAACTCGATATTACAAAAACAGAAGCTTCTTTACTCTTAAAATTTGTTGTAAAATTTTTATAAACACTTAAACTACCGACTATTTTTCGTCAAATGGTAATTATAGCAAACACTTTCTATACTCGTTCTACGTGATTTTCTTTTTCTTCAATAGCGTCCCTTTTGATGATCGAAAATTGATTGAAAACTTAAACTCGATAATAAAACTTAAACTTCGAGGAAATCGAATAATAGCTCCGCTCGATTCGTTTAAAGTGGGTCGAAACGAATCGGCCGATGTTCGCCCCGGTGTTGAATTTGACGATCTCGCGAGAGAACAAAGAGCGAAGAAGAAAGAGGGAGGGAAGAAGAATCTCGCGGCCGGTTTAAAAAAATGCAAAAGTTGCAAATGAACTTTCTAGCCATTCCATTCATTCGGGCCTTGTCGGTGAGAGACTGCGTTGTTGCGCGTGAAAGAGAGAAGAACGTTGAAGAGGAGGCGGCCGTTATCTCTCGACGTGTGGCTCTCATTTTTCTGTTCATTCGAATGCAGGTTGCGAGGCTCGGCTAACGGACACGTTATCTTTACGTGATCGGCAAAGCCGAGCATTTCGAAACGAGCGGCTCTCGCGTGGAAAGCCGAGAAAGGAAAAGTGCGGAAATGTGGCTCCGGGACCCAGTTGCAAATGTTCGCCGATGGAAAGTCGAAACGCGATTCGCGCGGCCGCTAGTCCCATTGCCAATCGAGGTTTTCTTCTTTTCGCCTTTGTTCACGTTGTTCAGAGATCGGTTAAAAAAACGATCCTGTTCTCGTATCTTTATGTTAATATCCGGACGCTGTTCGAGAGATTATTATATCTGTATAATATTTATTTGTTGCATTAATTGTTTTTTAATATATAGGTATAAAAATGTCTGTCGTGGCTAGAAATGTACCATTTATTTGTTTGAATACATTCATAGTGTTTATGTAGTAGATTAAATTAGTTGCAAGAAAACTCGAACAAGAATCAAGTTACAGCAAATTTGTAATAATTTTGTATATTTTAAATTGCCAATTAATAATAGTTAATTTTGCATTCCTTCTGTTGCAAATGAGCGAATGAAACGACTGAAAATTTTGCTGCAGGTGTTTGTTTTTATAAAGAACTTTCTCACGAAAAATGAGACTTGTTACTCAGAAGCATGTAGTTTTCCTTAAAAACTAACTTTTTTTTTTTTCTTAAATTTACGCACTGTCCATGTAAATGTTACAGAGAAACTAGAAATTTTTTGTTCTTTTCTATGCGCCGAAAGCAACGCGTGAAATTCTGCTACATCAAGACAGTTTTATCTTGAAAAAAAAATCAAGGAAAATACACAAATATTCCTTTAGACCTCATCAAATTTTCTTTCTAATTTCATTCTTTTATATTGAAAAAAAAATGCAAAATTATTATCAATTTCATACATTCGAGACGAATGTTACGATTATTTCTTAGGGAAAAATATAAAAAATACACATTATACGAAAAAGTTTTGTTTCAACCAACGAGCAAAGAGCGCGGGATACGACTATTCGTATTAAATTGTTCAAAGTTAAATCCAGGATTTATAATTAATCAGAATGTCGACGAACACGATAGTTTGATATTTCTACGGGCAAACAAGAAGCTTTCTAAAATTCCTCGTTCGAGCTCCGTCCACTCTGAAATTCTTTTTCCCTTTATTTTTCTTTTTTTTTCTTTTTTTTTTCGAGCAACCGGTTGCACGATAATTTCCCTCGCCGGGGCAAAAGTTAAACTTCTGTTGCAGAATCCGTAGCGGGGGATAATTAACACGGGGACGCGCGTCGAGCGTATTCGAGCGAGCTGCGTGTCGCACTGCGATCCAATTCGTCGTAACACGAAACGAGGCGAACCAGTTTCGGCGCGAGAGTGAAACAATGCTTTCCGTTTCTTTCCCCGTGAATCAAGAGGCGAATCCACGGTGCGTGACTGTGAATCCTAGCGCGAGTTCCAACCATGAAATAACAACTGTGGCCGGTTCCCTTTTCGTCGGCTGTTTTACGAGTTTGTTTCGCTGCGCCGTCTGCTCTGCCGTCGTTCCTCTCGAAAATTCGAACGATTCGTTATTTTATACGCGCAACCTAGGAAACAACCTGCAGAATATTTGTCGTACTCTGCATTTCATAAATTGTTTCTCTTTTCAATGAGAGGTGGGAACATTTTTTTTTTTTTTTTTGATCTTTGGACTTGAAGATTCTAATTCATTTTCGTTTTCTTTTCTGCAAAAGTTGCAGTTCTTTTGTTTCTTTTTCATCTTTCGTTTTTTTTTTAGTAAATTTTTAGTCCTCGAAACTTATATGAATTTATAGTTAAGTTGTGTTCCAAAGATGATTCCTATGTTTCTTTTGTTTTCTTTCAATTTTTTAGTAAAATTGTTTGGCTTGTTTGGAAAGAGAGGTGTTTTGAATTTAGAAATTTTCAGTCTCTTGCGATGCTAAAAACCATCGCCTTCGAAAGATTATATATTCTTTTATTTTCTTAATTATGGGAAAAGAGAAGAGTGGAAAACTGTTCTTCGTCTCGTGAAGTTCTTCAGTTCCAATGAACAATTACAAAAGCTTTCGGTTTCTCAATTTAAAAATCTTTATTTAAACTCTAATTTTATTATTTTCTTTCGCTTTTCATCAGTTGATTAATAAAGAAAAAAGGCAAAAATCTCGCAGAGAGAATCTTGAGAAAATAGGAAAATAGTAGATAGAAAATTCCCTCTTAAACTCTATGATTCTCTTATTTTCTTTCAATTTGTTAATATAGCTAATGCAACTAAAGAAAAAGTGATAAAAAGAATTCCTTCAGTCTGTAAAGTTCTTTTGGCTCCGATAGAGAGAATTACAAAATTTTTCGATTTTTCAACTTCTTCCAACCTATTCTAAAACCATCATTCTCTAACGACTAAGAAATCCTCTTTTCTTTTTCCTTTTCTGGTGAACAGAGCAAACTTTTATCAATCAGACAGATGTCGTGATCGTTTCAACAGTTCGCTTCTTCCTCTTCGAGAAAATTCGTCACTGTTGTTTGTATGTTACGCAGACGACGAAATAATTCTGGTGACGAAGCTTGGCCAAAGCAATTTGAATGTGAAAGGAAAACACCGGATGGTTAATACAATTCGGATCCTCGAGCTTCGAATATTCAGCGGTGCTGGCGCGTTGGCGCGCACGTACGTACATTTGTTGTTAACGAAGCTCTTTGATCGTGAATTTGTGTCACAAGTTCGTTCGACGAACACTTCCCGGCAAATGAGTCACTGTCGGCGGAAGAAGCCAGTCCTTGTTCTTTCCTCGAGGATCATTGAACGCAGGACACGCTTTCTTCCCCGTGATGTCAGTCGTTTGGCTTTCGTATGCTTTCGTATTCGAGGATTTCACGGTTTTCTGATTAATAAATCCTGACGGATGGCGTATTTCTATTTTATAGTTACTCCGGACAGTAACAAGCTCACTCGTGAATTGATACTTTTTATTGATGTTTAAACGTTGCCTGAGTAACTCTTGAATATATTATAAATGAAAGGCGGTATACTGGTGTTTCAGTGCTTCGCAGAAAATCTGCCCGTTTCTCTTCATTTTCGATATACATTGTATACTTTACAGTTGCTCGCTGTTTATTTTTAGATGAAACATTTTGAACACGAGATCCGACTGTCGTCATTATATTCATCAAATTTGAAATAAATCTGTACGTCTGATTTATATATAGGAATCGTCGCAAATCAATGCAAATATTTCAACATCGGCGCGAGCATTTGTTTTGCTTTTAGTTTAAAAAATATTTATGCATAT